ACACACACACACACACACACACACAGGCAAACGCACACAGAGCACAACATTAGCATGGGCGGTACATGTGTGATTTGCCGCAGCCACCTGACACATGTTCTGCTAGTCAGACAACGCGACCGGCGACCATCTTGTCGACCGAAAGCATCCGGCAGGTCAGCATTTTCGTCCACACTCTTGGCAGCTCTTCTTCTCGTCGCTGCGTGGCCGGTCTGTCGGTTTCCACTCGTTTGCATCCGGCCAATCAGAAGAGCAGTTTCGCTGCTGAGAGCTGTATCAGTGGACGTCTGGATCGGGCTACACAAATGCAGAGATCTTGTTCAATTGGCGAACTCATGAACCCATTTTATTCTCCTTGTCAAGCAATGCCAACTCTTGTCGAATGCGTCATAATCGCGAAAAGTGTCTTTCTGTACAACGGTTACAAGCCCTAACTGCCCTATCAACAATTATGCAACAGTTGCTCGAGTCACTTTAGCTCGCTGAATGTAGGTTTCGGAAGAATATTAGTTTTTTTTTCTTTAAATCATATGAATAGATCTCAGGTGAACACTTCTCCAAAAAGATTGTCTTTTCCCGACTGTAGGGTGTTTTGTTACCTCAACCTAAACCGGACTTTGAATCATACCAATTCGGAATCTCGGTCTTCTGGTTCTGGTTGGGAATTCCACACCTCGTTGAGGCAAATATGTTTGATGTGCTAAAATGATGAAAAGAAAAGCAATTTCTTTTTATAAAATAAAATATGATACACACCAAAATGTCATTTCTCCCGACTGGAGAGCAGTTTGAATGTCTTGATTTCTTCTGCCTCTCCAACAAGACTCGAACCCAGGCCTTACATCTATGGGCATCATTAGGTCGGCGAGGCCTTTTTTTGAGTAATCATAGACGAACTACTTATAATTGGTGTGAGTAGGATGGCAATAAATCAGTAATTCAAGAAGTGAGTGTGAAATTTTCAGCAATAAACCAATTCTTCCATAAAATTCATTTAGAGCTTAAAACATACTCACAAATGAACTGAGTAGTGTCGTTGAATGGAATGGTTGTTAAGATTTCTGTAAAAATATCTTATACAAAATCGCAACAGATTTGCTCCAATACACTAGGAAAGTGTGTCGTTTATATGATCATGAAAGTTCCAGTTAATCCAAGCTATATTTTTCCAAATAAGTATTGTTTTCCTGACTATCAGTAAATCAGTAGTATCCGATGTATTCACGAAATTTCGTTTAAGGTGAGGAAGGACTGGTAGAAGAACAATTTTCCCACAATGATATGAGTTTAGCTGACATATCATATTATTAATATTTGCGCTTATATTTTTCGAATTAAGTATTGTTTTCGTGACTACTAGTAAATCAGTAGTATGACATGTATTCACCCAATTTCGTTTAAGGTGA